CTCTACATCTGGAACAGAATTGAGATAACTGATAAAATCATTCATTACAGCAACAAACTATACACAGATAATAGATAAATCAAAAGTATATCCATAAAGTGTTCAATTTCCATCAACAAAAATCTCATAACAATTCTTTCCCCATGCTCCCTCTTCAGGCTTGCGATCTCAAAATCACTTAGTGAGACTACTAAGCCTGCACGCAAAAAGGATGTTCCCCAGCATGGTACCAAAGGCTTCTTTGACTCAATTCGACAACGAAATCACGTGCCAGGCACATAAGCGTGCCTGGTTCAGCCCCCGCACGCATCCAATCTCGAAATGTATAAATTAATGAAAGGCGCACGCCTAGGAAAAAAGAAGCGTAAAAGAAATCTCACGCGAATACCATACAAAAATAAAAAGAGTAAATGGCGGGTAAAAGGCAGGATATTGAGAATCACGTACCTATCTACACTTAAGGAAACATTGTGAGTAGTTCGCATAGGTCGCTGAGGTTGCAAGCAGTCCTGGTGAGTGGCGCATACAACAGCTGAGAGAAGATAACCTAGAAATACTATAGTTTCAAATCCGCTCGTCAATATTATCCCATCAATATATCGTATGATGTTTCGTACGCATATAGAACGAAGAAGAACATGTGTAAGCAATAGATTGCACAAAAAATCAAACAATACTAAGCGGACCTATTTGAACAACATCTCTGACAGCGCCCGTTTGGTAGAGAGCATCGCCATTATTGAATTCATCAGCGTTCCCATTCGCCAAACAACTACAACAGAACTAATAAGGTGAGCGGCTATCACTAAATAGGGAATGATCACAACTTGAGGTGGCGAATTCAAATCAACCGGATATCTTCAGACGCATCATGATGAGCTGAATCCAGATTTACATTCCATATCTGCAATGCCGTTCTCTGGAAAAAGGTATAAGCGTTCAAATGTCCAAATTTGGCAAAAATTTGGTGCCACATCTTCAAAATCTAGTTGTTCAAAAGCGATTTCTGTGTTTCTGATGAATGTGAGCATCCTTTGAAATCATTACACTCAGTATCTTGCTAGTCATGAACTTTTGAGTTGGATTTTAGACCGCATCATGCATCAGAGCTTCAGTAAATTCACACATTTGAATGCGGTTGAATA